TGCCACTTTCACATCTGTGATCCTAGTGTAGCCCTGGCTGAGGATGTTGTCTGCTTCATGCCTGGCCACACAGAGCCTCACACTCTCCAAAGATTCCATGAACTATTCCCATAACTTCTGGAAGAGACTGGTACATTTAGGGGGTTATATCTAAACATGAGGGGATGCCCATTCTGAGGCTGTTGCAGGCATCTTTTTCTCAGGGGACACCTTTCTGCAAATGGAACAACTGTAGTTTAAAAGTAGCTTTTCACAACCCTAGGAGAAAGTGGAGTCTGGAACCCTAAAAAATATCATTTACGTCCTATAATAATAAGTTCTCAATCTGAGAAGATGGATGCAAATTATTTTATAGAATGTCTGAAGCTCCAAGGATGAAATACATGATGGGAAAACTCAAGAGCATTCGAGGGCTGTGGAGCCAAGTTCCATCACTGGTCCCATACATGAATTATAGTCTCAGGGAACGAAGTTTTCATGGGGCTAAGGGATACACTATTAATTATATAATTAATTAAGCTAATTTTAACACTTTTGTTTAACCAAATCCATAAATAGTTATTGATGTTGTGTTCCAAAGATGAACCTCGTTCAAGTAGAACATAATGGACTTTTCATGGACTGAAAGACACACTAGTGAATTACAGCAAAATATTCCAATTTCTGTAGCTGATATCAACTCAGGCTTGGTTAGGATATCCCATGATTTTATTTCTTGTAGAGTTGTAACAGAGTGGTATAGTAGAAAAAGAATGAATCCTAGCCCAGCCCCCATCTACCCACAGGCAATTGCTGGGCAATATCTTCATCTTCAAAACAAAAGGGAAATAAATGTCCTTTGAAACTCTCTATTTTTGTTTTTGTTTAACTTTATAAACAATTTTAAAACCTTTTATACTTTGCTAAGAATCCTCCACATTTTAATTATCAATTTTATAAATAAATGATTCTCAAAATGGAAGAGAGAGCATATCATAATCAAAAAATGTAGATATTTTTCAAATTCTTATTCTTGCTTCTTCAAACTTCCATAGAATCCATGAAAGTCGTAGGGAAAAGAAAGATTTATATTTTGAGAAAGCCCCCAATAACCTCAAATATTCACATTTCTACCTCTATTATAATTTTAAATACTATCCTAAATCAATAATTTCTCCCAGTTCAAAAGTTGAGGTTCATTTGAATCTCACATTGAATTAATAAATACATTGTTAAGGCATAAGAATGAGATAGCCAAAGTATTCAGAGGTAGAAGGTTAAGTAGTGTTTTACTGGGTACTTTTTAAATTTTTGATATTTAAGTTGTTTGGCATTTTCCTCTAGAGAAAAGTACCAACAAAATTAATTAATAGTTATTACTAATGATGATGATGATAATAGGCATTTACTGATAATAAATGATGAGTATATAATTAATAACTAATGATGATAACAGACATATGCCAAGCAACATATGTTGCACTAAATTCACTACATGGATAGTCTCATTTAATCCTCTCAAAAAAAGTTGAGGTAGATGCTAAAGTGTCCAGATTATACAAATGGAGAATCTTAGACATTGATTTAAAAACTTGCCTAGGCAGAGGTGTAGCTCAATGACAGAATGTTTAGCATACATGAGGCCCTGGGCTCAATCCCCAGCACCATAAAAAATAAAACAAAAAATCGCCCTGAGTTACATAGCTGTAAAGTGACTCAGTTGGGATTTGAACCCAAGGGTGCCTGATTGTCGGGCAGTGTTTCTTAACTAATATTGCTCTTATAAACCCTCATAACATTAATCTGGTAGCTACTGTTTTTTGTATGGCCGATGTACACTGAGTGACATATTCATTAGCTCATGCTACAGCACAATTCCATAAGGAGTTTATCATTTATACCAAGTTGCAATGCAAAGAATTTTGATACATTTGGATTATTTTATGCTTTATGCTTCCTTCATATACTTGCAAATTATGTGCCTTGCTACCTTGTACATATAAATAAATGTCAGCCATCAAAGAAAATGACAAGAGTGCAGTCAATATTGTAGATTGGCCCTCACTATTGAAGGGAGAAGCACATGGGAATGAGTGTATTCCACATACATAAATAAAAAACAACTTTTAAAAGTAAATATTCCCATTGAGGTGTGTTTTGTTGTTGTTGTTGTTGTTTTGTTCTGTTTTGTTTTTATCAGAGCCAGGAAAGAAATAGTAGTTTCTGACTCAGAAATGATGAACCTTAAAATAATTTTTCAATCGCTTTAAAAAGATGAGACTTTTTGCTTTAAAAGGAAAAGATTCTTCTTAAAGAAATAGTAGGACCACTTTCAAAATAATAATTATAATGTTTATATTATTAGGTTTAAATATTTTATTATCTGCTTTTTTATTTAAAAGTAGTTCTGGAGAATCTTATCGATTTTATGGACAATTGTTATTTCAACTCTGCTTGACAGAGATTTCTGGCTAGTCTTGGTTGCCAGACCCAATCTTGGCCCCTGAGGATCACAGATTAAAACTCAGTTCCTGGCCCGGAGGAGTTTCTCCTTAGAAGCCTTTGTTTTGAGACACTTCCCATTAGGGGCAAAGATTTCTCTGTCTATAGTTACCTTGCAAGTCAATTGGCTACATAGCAACTATTTAAACTTAAAAGTCTTTGGAAAGAATTTAACTTTCATTTAGTAGAAGGAGATAATATACGCTCTGTTTTCCTCTAGCTTTGATATATATCTTCCATATTTAGAATTCCTATTAATGTTTTAGGTTTCATTTTGCCAGAAGGAAAACAGGCCCTGTGTTCAAGCAGGTGAAGAACTAGTTATACACTAAGAATTCAAAGGAACTCTTTTCATTATAAAACCTCTGACAAACAGGCCAAGTGAGGGCTGGGTTTTCTAATAGGCACACCAGGATGTGATAGAGATCTTGACATTTATGAAAGACTATTGAACAAAGGGGTATTTAGCAGTAGTGAAGTTATTCAACTGATATTCCAATCAATAGTAAGTAAAACATTAGAAAAATAAAGTAAAAGATGTTTCATTTCAGCAGCGTTATGAAATCTGTAAACTTATAAGTCTAAGAATTTGAAATGTGTTGATATTTAAAGGAAAGTAAGCCAGATCTTTTAAAAATATTTAATTGTATCCACACAGCTTTCTGAGGATAAACAGAACTGACATTTTTCCGAGGTCCTTCTGTGTGGCAGTCTATGAAGAGCACAGAAACTTTATTATGGTTTCATATGTTTGAAAACAGGAAACAAAGACTTAAAGAAGCTAAATTGTCCGAGGTCATACAGTTATTGAGGGACAAAATGGGAATTCAAACCCAGCTCTGTTTGACTCCAAAGACTATGGGTCTTTCCATTATATCACCCTCCATCCTTTTATGGAATGATTTAGTTGCCAACTGGGGATAAAATAAATGGCCTTTTGAAATTCTTTCCATTGCATTGATTCTATTCTCCCTTACTTGATCTTAGTATTGGCCTTAACACTATTTAGCAATTTGTATATACAGAGAGGATGGCTCTGGAAACAATGTATAACTGGATGAGTTTAATGTAAATTTTCAAATTTAAGTTCTCTTTATTCTTACTTGGCCCTAAAATCTCAGTGAGAAGGCATCTCAGGGATCACCTATTACAGGCTGTCCAATGTCTAGTTCAGTCTCTTGGTGTCTGTGTGTCTGTGTCCATGTCTCTCTCCTTGTTCTGTTTTATTTAGAACCACCTTTGTTAGGTAGTTCACTGGAGTGTGAACAACACCGACAAGTCCCCACGATTAAGAAGCTTCTTCCTTATTGCTGCTATTCTCTTCTGCATTTCATAGTTTCCAATTCTATCAGAGCAGGAGAGACAGTAGGCTATAAAGGAGAGAAAAAGCCACACCAAAGACACTCTTACATAACTCATTAAGAACCCCCTGGTGCACAGTTGACATCTAAAGTGGTAATTGGGTACATAAAAGTCGATCGTAGTGCTTTGCCCTTAGTCTGTGGTCTTATTAATGAGTTTAAATGCATTTTTCCCATGTGGCAGAAAGACTGTTAAAGATCTAGAAATACTTTTGGACTCTTCTGAGCAGACAAGAAGACAGATGGCCCTAAGAGTAATAGTTGGCAAGAACATGTTGTTAGTAGCTTGATTTGAAGGTGGTTCTGAGAAGAAGCTTCAGTAATTTCAGTGGGTGTTTGAGAAGGGATTTATTTGGAAAGGGAGAAAGAAAGTGGCTGTAGAGAGAGCCCAAGAAAGATTAAATTATTGAAGGAACCGAGTGGAAAGACCAGGAAGAATAGTGTGAAGCGCACCTTCCCCAGACAAAAATCTACTCACATAGGATTGACAGAGAAGGTATGCAAAGCGCCCATACATGCAGGGTGCTTGATGCCAAAAGCACCCAAACATTTACTTACTTTGCCTCTATTTAGCTCTGTCTCATTTTGTCTTGTGTGTGGCTATTGAATGAAACTCATTAAGAGCAGGGGAGCATGGCTCAGTCATGTTGGAATGGCCTGCACCTTGCTCAGTGTCTTTTGTACAGAGTAGATATCCAAATATGATTGATGGCAAGCACATTTGGTAGAGGTTCTGTACTTGGCAATTGTGTTTGAAGAATAAATGAGGCTAGTGAGACCAAAGAGGCCAAAGTGTGTCCTGTTCCAAAAAGCAAGCTCTGGGGGAAGAAAACAGAGCCATCCAGAATTGTTTTCATACTCGCAGAAATTCCAAAATAAAATTAGAGGACACCAAAAAATGAAAGAAGATAGCCATTTTCCATCTTTTGTTACAAACCAAACCCTGATTTGAGGAGTTCTTTGCATAACCTGTTTCCCCAGGCCTCACCAACCTGAGATTTCAAAGGCTATAAAACTGGACTCCATGAGAAATTCAGTTGCCTTTGATTCTTTTCCTAATTATTCTGGGCAAACCAAAAGTCATTTCATTTATACTCATGTCTTGGCTACCATCTACCAAGAGGCCCTTTCCTTCTTTCTTGCTTAGCAGCTAATGGTTGCCAAGAAGCAAACAAGAGGCTCTGAGAAAGTCCTACAGTCATGCACTCCCATTCTAAGAGCAAGTCCATGTCCTTTATCTTCCTACCTGCACTACAGAAGTGAATGACCTCTCAGCCTGGAGTTCTACCCTATGGCTCACGGCACTCCGGTGTCTTGATGGAAGACCCCGCTGGATTATAAATTCAGAGAGATGTGTATTAGAATCCTGGGTCTGCCATTGTTTTCAGATGTGTGTCCACAGGTAAGTTACATGTGCCCTCTAAACTTCAGCTTCCTCATCTATAAGATAGAGAAAATAATGACTGTATGTTAGGCCCATTGGCACGATTGAATCAGATACTTAATGCTGAAAGTTTAGTGATTAGGAAGGGCTCAGGAAGTTAATTATTATTATTAATATCTGTTGCCTAGGCTACAAAAAAATGTTTCTTCGTGCTTTCAGTGTCTAAAGATATTTTTATGAAAATAGCTCTTGAAAATTTTTATTCACAGTCCTCAGTACCAAAAGGATTGAATGGGAAGTGAATGATCACATTCTTCCTGAGATGACCCTCTCCTCTAACCCTGTCCCACTGTCTTGAACATCCTCTCTAAATCTCACTGCTTTTAGGAACTAGAGCTCTGAAACTTCAGACAGGGCCAAGCAGAATCTGAGTATGAACACAGCTGAGGTCTCTAATGTTATAAGGAAGGATTTAACAGAGGCTAGATGTTAAATGAAATTTTTTGAAAGATGAGGTAAAAGGGGGGAAATAAAAACAAAAACAAATGAGAGAGAGAGAGAGAGAGAGAGAGAGAGAGAGAGAGAGAGAATTCAAGTCCCCCAAGAAAGAAGGAAATCCAAGAATACAACACAGAGAATTCTTTCTGGAAGTCAAAGGTTATATTTTAATTTATATTTTCCTTCAGGAAATTAGTACATATGTGCCAAAAAACATGCTTCTATTGAATTCTGAGTAATATTCTCTGAAAAACATTATGGGTTTGGAAAACACTGGCAGAAAAGCTGGGACTTGTTTGACGCCTAGGTTGAAAATGTGCATCGTGATTCATAAGGCACAATTCAATTTTAAATTATCCCCTCTTTTATGCCCTTCAACAAAAGAAAAAAATTAATCTACTTGGTAATGAATGCATAGTCCATTATAGTTATTGTGTTCTTTTGGGGGGAAAAATGACAGCTTTATTCACTCCATGTGGTAAACCAAATTGCTTCAAGTAAAGTGCAAATAAGACAAACACTAAAATTGAATTTTTCCTTCCTCTTGTACCTAGAGGCATATGCTATGGCTGGAATGCATAAGTTAAAATGGCAATAGTAATAATAATAGTGGAAAACTAAATGCAAATATTAAACTCAGACAACTGATTCTAAGGGGCAGCAATTTTCATGCTCCATCTGCTTGAAGAAAATTTCTTGTTAATCAGATCTATACAAAAATGTGGGTGTGGGATTCTATTCTCTGTTGAAGCCATAAAATTTTTTGTACAGTGATGCATTTATCTGTTGAGTCTGCTTTATTTGTTATTTTTTAATTTGCAAAGGCACCCCCCCACAGGAAGTTTGCTAACTAAAGCCCCTAGGAAATTGGCCAAATGAATGCAGCTACTAGGTACAATAACAAATACCAATGATGAAATAAATCAACATGAAATATTTAAATTAGAAAATCTGACTTTTAAATTTAGGTGTCAACCAGAGACTATTCCTTATCACTACGCAGAAAAAGCCTAGGGAATATATTCATGGAAGACTTAAATAAAGCCAGCCCACCAGATTTCAATAACTTTCTTAAAATGTCCTTCTCCAAAGGATACTGTACATGTTTAAATAATAGAAAAATTCTCATGGGACTTTCTCTTCATAGATCTTGAAAATGGTCTATTAAGACTAGTTCTATTTTATTTACATTGCCTGTGTATTAAAAGACTTAAGATCATATGATTGGTGAAATATGTGATGTGTTAGAAAGCAAAAGAGTTAAGTTTTTCATTATTTTCTATTGTTATTTCTATTTATTTTAAATTAGTGATAGAGATTATAGGCTTTGGATTTAGATGGACTCCAAGTCCAGTTTTGCCAGGTACTAGCTTTATGACCATGAGCAAGATACTTAGTCTCTACACCTTGCTAACCTGTTCTGTAAGATGAATGCAAGAACTCTTTAATCACTGGCCGTGACAATAAACTCAACTTTAGCAAAGTAACCCAAAGTAAATAGTGTATAAATGGTAGCTATCAACACTATTATTAAGCAGATTAATTTAAGATTATAAATTCAGTTATTTCAGGGAAAAATAGATTGACTTAACTCTGATTATAATCCAATAGATACAAGCCTAAATAGAGTAGTTATTGTTTGTTAAGAAACACACACACACACACACACACACACACACACACACACAAGCACCTTTGTTAAGAGTGATTCTTTTAGTACATGGCTGTGACTGACATGCACTTAATGCAATTTGTATTATAATAATAAAAGCAATGAAACTGATGCAAGGACAAGAGACCTCAAGCAGAGAGCCTTGCCCAGCTCATTCTAAATAACTTTAAGCCACCACAGATAAGCACGCTTATCACAAACTTAGATGAAAGAAAAAGCCAAAAAAATGACCACTTTGTGCCCTCTACATATCAGGCACTCTGCTAAGCAGTTCACATACAGGATAGCCCTATTATATAGGTATTATTCCTATTTTAGAAATGAAATAACTAAGGCTTAGAGACAATAAAAATCTTCACCCAAGTCTCTCCTCTGTAATGGTGGAATGGTAGTTTAATCTGGGTTTATATCCTCTTACATGGGTTTGTTTTAGGAATTGAATCCAGGGATGCTTAACCACTGAGCCACACACCGAGCTCTTTTTATATTTTTATTTAGAGACAGGGTGTCATTGAGTTGCTTAGAGCCTCACTCAGTCGCTGAGGATGGCGTTGAACTCATCATTCTCCTGCCTCACTCTCCTGAGCTGCTGGGATTATAGGCATGTACCACCACACACCTGGCTGGGCTTATATTCCTTACTAGGTGATATTTTGCTTTTCTAAACAGACATCAGGGCCTACTCTGAAAGGGATGTCTAGAGGGCGGGAGAGAGTCACTTACATTTAAGTGAGATAACTCCACTCAAAGCAAGAGAGAGGTACAGGAGATACACTCCCTTCAGGGACAACGAGTGTGCCTAGGGGAGACGGGTGTGGGGTGGCAGGGGGATGATTGTGTGTTGCTCTGACTGCCCCCCAATCGACCCAGATGGGCAGTCTCATGTCTAGTGCTTCAGTAAGAGAGATGGAAGCCACAGCAGCTATTTGGTTCACAGTCTAGGAAAGGTAGGTGAGGGGTGAGTGGAGGCCAAGGCCCTGGAACCACACTGTGGGCTTGACTTCCAGCTCTCCACTGGACATACTGACTGACTTTGGATGAGTTACTGTAACTTGTCTAAGAGTCCAGGTTTTCATCTGGCAAGTGGGAATAAAATACTACCTTTTCTGATGCTAATGGAAATAGTCACTTACCATTGAGAAGGATTCACCAAGTAAATAATCCTACCCAAAGCAAAATTTAATTTTATTTAATCCGATGATTAAATAGTAGATACACAGAAGAAAGCCATGGCATCTAGTTAGTTCTTGATAAATGTTATCTGGTGCTATTCTAAGATTCATCAGATTTTGGCAGTTAACAATTGGACTTTCCTAACTATTGTTTTGTACCCTTGTATTTCCTTGTCGTGGACATTCCCCACTCAGGGATATCAGCAGAGGAGCCAAAAGCCATAGGTCCTCAAGGGCCTCCAGGCAAAGAGAGCACTGATTTCTGAATAGGGCTTCTCCTTTTCCCTCCTCCAAAGCAAGATAGCCCTCCTCCCCGGAGGAGAAGGACCAGGACACAGGAATGACAATGCTGGTGTGCACTGCTCCAAGAGGGGGCAGCATTTTTCTCTTCACCCTCAGCCAGAATCCCCAGGTGAGGAGAAAAGTGGACAGAAAAATCCAGATTATTCTGGAAAATCTGGAAATAGAGTGCTTTCTGCATTCATTCAGATTTGAGAAACAAGCAAGAGCCAGGAGACATGCCTGGGCAAGCCAGGCTATCTTCACAGTGATTTTCCCGGACTCAGTGTGGAACCAGTGATAGTGAAGGGCAGGCAAGACCCAGCCCTGGCTCAGCTTGCAGGAAGCTGTCAGAGAGCTAGGTCTGAAAGGCCTTAGGTCAGGCTTCAAGGAACACACAGCAACTGGGTTCACTGATGACTAAAGACCCCAAAGTAACCGAATGAATCATGTTACAATGGGAGGATCAAAGACTAGGTGCCACCTCCTCTTGCCTCCCCCCCCCCCACACACATACAACACACACAACACAGAGAAGGTATGTAATGCTCTGGCAATGTACAAGCTGCCTGAGAAGGAGGAGCACAGTTCTAAATTCACTAAACTTCTAACACCACTCCGAATGGGTACTTAAAGTAGAACTTAAGTGGAGTCATAAATCAAGAGAATTACACTGACTTCTCACTTGAGTGAAATGTTGCCTGAGGCAACTGCAGTTTCAGCATTGATGAGAGATGGTGCCCTGAGCAGGCTGCAGCCCGTAGAGTGAGTACAGTGGCAGGGATCAGGGCCATGGTGTTTCTGCTTATATACCCAGAATTTTATTGAATGCTAACTATGTGCTGGGGACTGAGCTGAATTCTTAAATGGGATTATCACATTTTATCATCACAAAAACACTGTGGGGTAAATACAATTATTTTCTCTAATGGGAGAAATAATAAATGGGAGAAATTGGGACTAAAACTTAAGTCCAGGCACCATATTATACAGCCTGTGGGGTTAAGAGCTAGGACATCCTGCCCCACTCGGACAGTTATCAATGGCAGACCTTCTAGCAGGAATAAGAGATCTTGCCAAAGAGGCATGCACAGGAAAGGTGGAAGTGTGGCTTCCTCTGGGGACTAAGATGACTAATTTGCAAGTTGCACTGGGAAGATCCTGAACGATATGGGAGGAATTTGAAAGAGAGCTGGAATGTTTTCTATTTCAGGGGAACCTCAGAAAGACTGGCTGAGGAGGTGGCACCTAGTCTTTGGTCCCCCCACTGTAATGTGTTTCAGTTCCTTTGGGGTCTTTAGTCATCAGTGAACCCAGTTGCTGTGTGTTCCTTGAAGCCCGACCTAAAGGCCTTTCAGACCCAGCTCTCTGACAGCTCTTCTCCTGAAGAGCACCAA